ATTTCTTACCTTAAGGGATGGGCAAGTATGGAATGTGTCCAGTGGAAAGTTGCCTTTAAGTTTTTGCATATTTTTGAAAGGGAAGCGGAGAACAGTGGCCTGAAAGCACTTGAAACTCAAGCGGCCTGAACTCTGATCCAATATTTTTTCTCCTTCAAGCCGACTTATTCCATTATAATACAAGCATCAATATGCAGTATCTAGTCATTTGGGAAAAAAATTGGGGGATTTTAGCTTTGTCTTTGCTGAAATAGCTTGGAGATAATGGAGTCAAAATTAAAACTAATAAGAGTTAAGTCATTCAGTTCTGATAGTTAAGTGAATACCTTATTCATGGACACAAGATTTACGTTGTGTTGTATCTGGCAACTGTCAGAGTACAGGGTGTGGAATTTATTCGGCTACAAAAGTCCCTTGAAATTGCCCGCAATTTCATAAAACCTTAGGAGTTCAGACATGCACAAATGTTTCTGAAATCTTTGGAAGACAATGACCTAGATTACTTCTTGGGCTGAAAATGACGAAGTTGGATTTTCTGTTTCATTCCTAAGGAGGAATTTGACCTATGAAAGTGAAAAGTGATTGGGGTGCTTCACAAAGGGTGAGGTAGAAGGTGAGTGAAAACATTACTTAACTGGGAAGAAGACGCTAATTCTGTTCTGGCAGGAATAGAGTAGTGCCAAAGGAAATGCAAATGAAGATATCAAAATAGCTTAAACCACATCAACTATTTTATTTCTAAATGTTCTAAGTTCCTTTGTCTCTCATGGTCAGTCTTAGAGACTCATACTAGATCTGTGGATGTCCTCTTATCCTTTCTACACCTGGACACATTTTAACAGTTGAAAAATAAGCAAAGATGAGATATGAGATACACAGTTAATCAATAATTTCAAACAGGGAAAGGAATATGTAAGTCAAAGAGTCTAGTGTGTCAAGATATTCATCAGACATCATGCTTGTTAGAAACGGCTTGTTCATTTTTATCTAGAGATGAAATAGCTTTTATTATTCACACGTGTGGACACACACCTTGTTGTTTCAGGAAGCACCAAAATCAGACAGGCAGATTACTAGATAAACTCAAAGACTGGTATTCTGACTAAATTGGCAGTTTCTAAATGTCAAATAGATTAGTTTATCCCCAATCATTGTGGGGCAACCTAATCACAGGCTGTCCCTTCACATTGTTTAAATAAAAATATGTTGGGGGATAATCTCTTAAAGAATATCAGCCTCTAAAAAAAAAAGGTAAAAAAATTTAGATTGGTTTCCTCACCCTTTGAAATTAGACAAAACCTCTTGAGTCTTCACCCCTGCACACAATGCCTCGTAGCCTTTGTGGGACTGAATGAATTCGGTGTCAGAGTGGACACTGATCATTTTCCTCAAAGCCAGTAGTAATTATTTGCACAAGGATTCTGTTTTATACTGTAAAAATAAGTTTATATTGACAAAGTCTCTATTTCTTAGGGCATTTACCAGAACAGATACTACCGTTGTAGCCATGGTGCTATTTAGGGTTCCAGTTCTTTAATGGTATTCTTAAGGGCTTCATGAGGTACCTGAACTTCGGAAACAGTCATTGAGATTCTGCGCGTGTACCATTTTCTGCAGCCAAACCCAAAACTTTAATCAGATTCTCCAGGAATCACGTCTTAAGAATGACTTAGCATCCCATTAAAAATGTACGTGTACTGCATCAATATTACCAGTAGATGAATAAAGATGTTTACCACAGTATTAAACAAAATAAGGTAGATCTTTCCATCAAACAAAAACAATAATATGCACTCACCGTTCAATTCAGTGCCAGTGTAAGCCTCCTTTCGGATTAAAATTAACAGTTTCACATTGTGTCTTTAGTCTTATCAGAGACTCCCAAAGTCAACAGCAGCGCAGTATGGGAAACCTTGGTTGTGTAACTTCTGCTCTTACTCTCTCGGAAACAGCGAATGGCATTTTCTTGCAGCCCACTCCCCCATCATCAGAACCACCTATTCGCATCACTGGGATTTTCGAAACAGCAACCAAACACCGTAATAAACGGTGTACGGTTTTTACCGGTGAGGTGGCACTTATTTGACAAAGCACGCCCGTCTGGGTTCTGTCTGTCACGACCACTGTTGTATTTTACTGTCATTATTTTCTTATGTACAAATTCTTCTCATAATAAAGAGTAAGTAAACCGAGGACAAAAATCCCACTTGGAGGAATTCCGCTTAGAAGCCGTCTGGGAGATGCCCCTGACGCCGGGTCCTCCGAGGAGAGCAAGAATCACCGGCCCCGCGGTTCGCCCTGCGGCAGAGCCCGGCTCCCCTGGCCCCCGGCGC